TCACGCCTGCGCGCCCACGCACGCCCTGCCCCAGCCCCCACCCAGCCACCCACCCACCCACCCACCCAGCCCCGGGGCCCCACCTCCGAGTCCAGCCTGCCCGCCCGCCGCAGCGCTGCATCCAGCGCCTGCCTGCGGCTGGTGGCCGCCACCAGCGCCACGCGGCACCTGCCGCCCCTCAGCTCATCCACCGCCGCCAGCAGGCGCGCGGTGGCTGCGCGCTCGTGCTCCGAGGCGCTGCGCTGTCGGCAGGGCGCCAGCGCGTCGGCTTCGTCAAGAAACAGGATGCACGGCTGCTGGGACTTGGCTGCGGGCGGGGGCAGGGGAGGCAGGTGAGGAGATGAGGAGAGCGCTCTGCTAGCAGCGGTGGCCTGGCGGAGCATGCCGCGCACATCACCCGGGGCGCTGCCGGCTGGCGTCAAGCACAGCCGCAGAGCCCTGCCCCGCACGCCCGGAGGCCGCACCTGCGCTGAAGGCGCGGCGCAGCTTCTGCTCCGCATCCTCCCCCACCGCCTCGCCGCCGTTGAGCACCACGAGCGGCAGGCGTGCCTCCGCCGCCAGTGCACGCACCAGGTGCGTCTTGCCGGAGCCTGCAAAGCACAGAGCCCCACGCCGCCAGCAGCACAGCGGGCGCACGCGCGTGAGCACCCCGCTGGCTGGCCGGCACTGGCAGGAGCAGCACCGCACCGCCACCACCACCGCACAGCACCGCCAGCGGCAGCACCGCGGGCAGCAGCAGCACTAATGCCAGCAGCGCCGTCAGGCGCGGCCAGCGGGCGCACCCGGGGGCCCGTGCAGCAGCACGCCGCGCGCCGCGCTGGCGCCCAGCGCCGAGAACAGGCGCGGGTGTGCCAGCGGGTACGCCACCGCCGCCATCAGCGCCTCCTTCTGCCGCTGCAGGCCGCCCACCGCCTCAAAGCCGGCGTCAGATGGGTCCCCGCTCAGCAGGGCGGCACGCAGGCGGGGACGCTTGGCCGGGGCAGCAGCCGGCGAGGCGGCGGCGGCTGCGGCGGCGGCGGCCACCGCTGGCGCCAGGCCCGCGCCGCCTGCCGGCTGCTGGCGGGAGGCAGCGGCGCCCAGGGCGTCCCGCCCCTCGCCCCACCGCCGTGCAGCCAGCTGGTGTTTCTCGGTGCTGCCGCCGGGCAGGAGCTGGGTGGCATCGGCTGCCTGCGCGCCCTTGAGCACCCATGAGTGGTGGTGCCAGTCGTACCGCCAGCGGGACACGTGCTCGCCCATCAGCACGCCGCCAGACGCCGAGGCGGGCACGCTGCCATCGATGGTGTGCCCCACCGCCTGCCGGCCCCACGCTCCGTGCCTCGCAGCTGGAGCGGCTGGCAGGCTGAGCGTTGTGCTGGCTGGCTGCTGGGGCCGCTGCTGCTGCGGCACGCTGGCGGGCGGCGCGAGGGCAGCGCTGCTCAGGGGCACGCACGAGCCGAGGGGGATGGCGGTCTTGCCATTGAAGCGGGACTGCGCCTTGGCTCCTCCCACCGCCACCATCCCACCATCGGTTGGCTGGACCGCCGCCGCTGCAGCAGGCAGCTCCACGTGGGCGGTGGTGGGGGATCCTGGCGGCGCCGCGATGCCGCCGCCCTCAAACCAGGACGTGCCGCTCCACCTGCACGCCAGCTCGGGCTATCAATCAATGCTGTGGGGCCGCGGACAGGCGGTGGCCGAGTGCGGAGGCCCACGAGCGGAGGCAAACTCACCAGGATGTCTGTTCTGTGACGACTGGCACCATGCTGCGACGCTTGTAGCGACGCTTGCCACCTGCCAAAGTGTTTGTATGGTTGGTAAGGCCAGCACAAGGCTGGTTCTGGCGGTTTTCGGTTGCGCGCTCTGACGTGGCACTGGGCTCAAAAGCAGGCCATTTTGCTCATCGAGGGCACCGATTGAGCGGTTTGGTCATCAGTGGGCTGCAGCCAGTCCCCTGTCCCACAATGGGTGTGGCGCTGGGTGCAGCGCTGTCCCACCAGCCCCACCTAAAGCTGAGCTGCCGCGGCAATCCAGCGCAATGCAGTGGTGGCTCCTTGCAGCGATCGCCATTGCAGCAGCCGCATGAGCGGCGGACGGCGCCCCGCCCACACCCACCCGCCGCCGCTGCTGCGGAACAGCCCTGGCCAGGGCTCAGCCGGGCACGTCTTGTCAAGGGCGGCTTGGCTGCAGCCGGCGGCCTGCTGCTAGCATTTTCCGGCGGCCCTGTGCAGGCGGCAGGCGCCGAGCCCGTGGCTGCCGTGGCGGTTGTAGCGGCCCCCGAGGCCGTGGCCGCGGTTGGGTCGCCCGCAGCCCAGAGCTTCAGCCAAGTGCTGCTGTCCACACTGGGCGACTGCCAGCTGGCGGTGTCCGTGTACCCCACCTTTAGCTACAACGCTGCGGGCGGCGGCGGCACCGGTACGGTGCGTGCGCGCGACGACGGCCTGCTGCAGCTGGTCTTTGACCCCTCCACGCTGAACATCCCGCCCATCAACTACCAGCATGCCGCCATCATCGGCATCCCCGTGCCGCCCCCGCTCAACATCGCCATCGTGCCGCAGGTGGGCTGCAGGAGGGGCCGCCTGGGGTGTGTCGCTACCTTGAGGGGGCTGCCTGGCGTGTGCTGCTGCCTGGCTGGCTGTGGCGGGGAGCGGCATGGCTGCCACAGCGAGGGTTGCCACAGCGAGGCTGCCCCCGCCCGCTGGACCATCCTGCCTGCCCGCCTGGCCCCCCGCAGCGGCTGGAGGGCACGCTGGACCCGGCCACCGGCCGCCTGGAGCTGGACTTTCTGGTGAGAGGCGGGGCTGGCGGCGGCCCGGTGGGCGACTGCATGGCACAGCATGGCACGCCCCCACCACCAGCCACCCGCCGCGCCCTGCACCCCACCTGCCTCACCCCACCCCCCCGCATCAACCGCTCGCACGCCCACCCCCGCAGGCGTCGTTTGAGTTCAGCGCGGGCCCCCTGTACCGCGCCTCTCCTCTCACGGTGGCCACCACGCTGACCACGGAGACCTCAGAGGGGGCGCTGCGGCGCGGCACGGGGCAGCGGCTGCGCGGCGACGGGCGGGCGCGGCTGGTGGGCGTGGCGCGCGTGCCCCCCACCCCCGACGCCTTCCTGAACACGTTCCTCATGCTGCCCACCGATGCGCTGGCGGTGCTGTCCGCCGAGCTGACCTTCTCCTGAGCAGCGCAAGCACGGTCGGGGTGTAATGCAAGGTGCCTGCTTCACACGTGTGGGTTGGTTGGGCAGCGCAAGGGATTGAGCGGCAAGGAGCCAGCCTGTGGCTCGAGGCGCGCCCCCTACCGGCCCAGCCAGCGGCGCAGGCGCCACATGCCCTGCTGGCGGGGGTCCACCGAGGCGGGGCCCGCCACGGTGGTGGCACCGTCGTAGTCGCCCGCGATGCTGGGCTGCTGCTCCAGCTCGTGGCTGCCGTCCAGGAAGAGGCCGGAGAAGACGTTCTCGTGCACCTGCGTCCACTGCCTGTGCAGGTGGAGGGGCGGGAGGGGGGCGGGGTGGAGGGGAGCGGCGCAGCCGGCACGGGGAGGGCTGCTCGCGTATGCCAGGGAATGCGGCAAGGCGTGCCGCGCTGAGCCTCAGCAGTACCAACACCAGGTAGGCCTCTCACCTGAGCAGGCCGGAGGAGCGGGGGGCTTGGCGCAGCTGCTGGCCGTGGGGCACCGCCTGCGGCTCGCTGTTGTGGCGGGGCGACACTGCACGCAGGCGCAGCGCAGGCGCAGGTGGGACGCCGTCAGCCTGTGCTGCGGCGCAGCGGGTGGCAGGCGCAGCCTGGCGCACCCCCTCGTCGGCAGGCGAGGGCAGGCGCGCGGGCACCCACGTTTGGAGCCCGAGGCACTGCCCAGCGACCGAACAGAGGTGCTGAGGGGGGAGCCGCCCGCCGCCAGCTGCCCGCCCTCCTCCGCAGCCGCCGCCTCCAGGAATGCCTCGGCAGCGCTGTCAGACATGCCGGCGGTGTCGCCACCCTCCACGGCATCCAGGCCGGCTGCCAGGCTGCGGGGCCACAGGAGGGTCCGCAGGGAGGGGTGAGCGGGGGCGGTGACGCGCCGGGCACGGCTGCAAGCCTCTTGCTGATGCTGCCAGCCCGCGAGCGGCGCATGCCCACCTGTAGAAGGTGTGGCCTGAGCCACGCGCCGCCTTGAGCCCCAGGCGTCCCAGCAGCCAGGTGCAGGCGCCGCCGTTGATCAGCACTGTGGCCAGGATGATGCAGTAGGTGGCAGCAAGCATGAGGCTGCCCTGGGCGGGGTCTGCAGGGCAGGGGCGTGGCAAGGGTGCAGCGCTTGCATGCATGCGCCACGCCAGGCCAGGTCGGCGCTTGGCAGCAGCCGGGGCGGGCGGGAGGCTGCATGCAGGGTCGCGCAGCGTGCGGCGCGCGCCTGGCACCGCCTCTGCCGCCTCCAGCGCGATGGCAAACGCCATTGCGCCCCGCAGCCCGCTCCACCACAGCATGACCTGGTGCGACTGCGGGATGCGCAGCTCCCGGGGGCGGCCCAGGTTGACCAGCGCTGCGCAGGGCCAGACATTGAGGGCGCGCGACACAGCCAGCGCCACAAAGCACACGCCCTGCGCAGGGGCGCCGCCAGGTAGGGGCAGGGCCATGCAATCAAGGGGCCAGCCGACCATCCTCCCGCACATGCGGCAGGCAGCCGGCTGCGGGCTACACATGGCAAGCGCCCGGAGCGAGAGCCCCCACCAGGAAAGGCAGCAGCTGCCGGTTGTCGAAGCCCTGGCCGCTCATGAAGACCGAGGCGCCAATGTAGACAAACACAAACACCTCGGCCAGCGTGGACAGCAGCTTGAAGAAGGAGCTGACCTGCGGGGCGCGGCAGGGGTGGGGGTGGGTGGGGCAAGTAGGGCAAATATTACCCTAGTAGGGCAAATATTACGCCACCGCTGCCTCACCTGCGGCTGCGGCACTGGTCTGCAGGGCGAGGCACGCCAGCGCGCCAGCCCTGGACCATCTTGCCTCCTCCTGTATCCCAGCCCAGCCGCCCCCCGCCCGGGCTCACCCTGTCGCGGCTGTTTGGCATCATGTTGGGCTTGGCGTACGCCGCCATGAAGATGCCGCAGAAGAGCGCCGACACGATGCCCGACAGCATGAGGCCGTCGGCCAGCATGTAGGAGGCAAAGGCCAGCAGCACCACCAGGCTGCTCTCCAGCGGCATGTGGCGGCTGCGGAAGTGCTTGGTCTTGACCACCGCCGCAGCCAGCAGCGCCAGGCCGCAGCCCACCTGCAACCGGGGCAAGGGGGGGCAAGGCGAGGCGAGCGTGCAAGGCGCCTCAGCCGCGCCTGCACCACCCTGCTTGCTGAGCAGGCGTCTGCGCAGGCTGGAGGGGGAGCAGGCCTGCCGGGGGGCCGCCGCAGCCGCACCAGCATGGAGCCCACAAACACGCCCACAAAGGAGGCGGCGGCGGCGGCCAGGGCGGCGGGCGTGACGGGCGTGGCCAGGAAGGTGGACAGGGAGCGGTAGAGCACCATGGCCACCGCGTCGTTCAGCACCGACTCTCCAAACACGAGGGAGTAGAGGTCGGGGTGGGCGCCCAGGCGCTGGAACACCGCCAGCACCGTGACGGGGTCTGTGGCGGAGACGACCGAGCCAAAGAGCAGGGCGGGCAGGGGGCTGAAGGGCGGGCACAGGCCCAGCGCCCCGGCGCCCCACACCACGCCCCCCATCGCAAACGTGCTGATCAGGGTGCCCAGGAAGGCGAGGGTGGCGATGCCGTCGATGTTGGCCATGAAGCGATCCATGTCCAGCCTGCCCCGGTGGAGCGGGCATGCAGCACTTCACCCTCAGCGAGCAGACAAGAGGCACAAGATGCGAGGCGGCGGCCACCGCACCTGAACCCCGCCTCAAACATGATGGGCGGCAGGATGGCCAGCATGAAAATGTCCTTCTTAAATCCGATGAACTGCAGTGGGGCAAGCACAAGAGAAGAGAGGCAAAGAAAGGTAAGAAGCTGAATCCAGGCTCGCAGAGCAACGGGTCAACACCATACTGGCACTGCCCTCCCACCCTTCAGTGGGCCCCTCCATACGGCACTGCCCACTCAGCTGCCATGACTTCTTGCCTGCGAGTAAGTGCCATGGGCGCTGATGAGTGGCGTCAGCACAATGAGACCAATCATTACGCCCAGCAGCAGGGCGATGCCCGCCTCGCCGATCCAGTTGATGCCGCGCCGGCTGGCGGCGTGGCCCAGCGTCAGCGTGGCAATCACCAGCATGATCTGGGCGGGCACGGGGATGGTGGCGTGGGGGTGGTTTCAATGCATTGCATATGCTGCCACATGCAGGAAATGCGTCATGACGCGCGGCGTGCCTGGCAGCGGAGGCGGCCCACCGCACCTGGCTGAACACCGCGAGGGCTGCCTGGTTCTCCGATCCATCACCCCCCTCGCCGGATGCTGGGGCTGCACACAAGCCGGGCGGCAATGAGATTGGGCCCGGCATTGACAGGAGGGGTTTTCCCATCCCCCACATTCAGTACCTTGCAGCGTCCAAACGCCCTCCAGCATACTGTGTGAGGTTCTGAAGAGAGGCTGGATTGAGATGGGGTAGCGCGGCGCACCGGTGGGCCTTATTAGGGTAGGGTCATGGCAAGATATCACTCACGGGCACTGTGCTAGGACCAGAGAGGCAGTGAATGACGAGTCCGTGAGTTGGGAGGCTTGCAAAATCCATTCGACAGGATATGCCAAATTCCATGTGCCGCTGAGGTGGCAGTCTCCCACCGTCCCACCAGTACCATGGGTGGCGGATGTTGAATAGCACACATCTGCTGCAAAATCACTGCTCCCCGCTGCCCGCCTGCGCGCGGCGCCCCGCCGGCAGGTGGCGGTGGTCCTTGGCGGCGTTGCGCTTGCGCCTCTTGGTCAGGTACTGCTCCAGCTTGCCGGGCCCCGCCGCCTTGAGCTCCTCATACTTGGCCACCAGCTCCAGCCGCCGCTGCTCGCTCTTCTTGAGGTAGAAGGGGCGCTTGCCGTCCTTGACAGACGCACGCTCCTTGGCCTGCGAGGGGCGAGTGGGCGCGGGCGGGTGGATGAGGGGCAGCGAGGGCAAGCAAGCAGGTGCGACACGGCAAGCTCCTGGCGCAACTGCAGCTCTGCTACCATCCGGCGTCCAGCCCAGCCCCACCCTAGCGGCCCGCCCCACCGCCTGCCTCACCTTGACCTGCTGCTTGAAGCCCTCGCGCTTGCGCCGCGCCTCCTCGCTGCGCAGCTGCTGCTCCACGTGCTGCATGCGCGCCTGCAGCGCCTCGCGTGCCGCCCCGCCCTTGGCCTTGCCCAGCGCCGCCCGCAGCTCGGCGCGCTCAGCGGGCAGCTTGTCGTCGTACAGGAAAGCGTAGCGCCGCTTGAACTGCTCCTCCTTGTACTGCCCGCCACTCAGCGACTCAAACCGCGGGTCCCGCACATCCCTGCAATGGGTGGTGGCGGGGGAGTGGCGGGCAGGGGGAGGGGCTGGAGGGGCAGGTGAGCCGCACAGCTTCGACCATCCGACCGCACGCTGGACACCTTCCTGGCGCCCATTCCAGCGCCTAGCTGCCAGCCAGCCTAGCAGCCTGCCAGCCACATGACTTGGCAGCCACATGACGTGCCAGCCAGCCTGCGGAGGCGCGCACCTCTTGCCGCCCTGCAGCGTGTCTCGGAACACCGGCACCGGCTTCTTGCTGCTCATCTCCACCGGCCGGTGCTTGCCCTCCCGCTTGAACGACGCCTTGCCCTGGTGCCGCAGCGCGCGCGCCCGAGCCTTCATTGCATCTGCGCTGGCGCTGCCGTCCTGGCGCAGCGCCACCAGCTGGCCCAGCGGCAGGCCCTCGTCTTCATCCTCCTCCTGCTGCATGCGTCCCGCCAGAGGCAACGCAGTGAGCGTGACACGCAGGCAGCCTGGACATGGGCACAGGCGAGGAAGGAGGACTCGTGTGTTTGGGGAGGCGTGCCAAGGCCTCACCTCTCCGCCGTTGCTGGTCTCGGTGTCGCTCTGGCTGTCCCCACTGCCGCCCTCCGAGTCACTGCTGCTGCTGGCATGCTCTGGAACCATGCGCCTGGGCCGCTTGGCCTGCACCGGGGCCTGCTCCGGCTCCTCGTCGTCGCTAGAGTCCTCCGCGGGCGGCGGAGGGCGGGCGGCGGCGGCCGCCGCCGCCACTGCGCTTCTGTCGGCGCGCCGTGGGCGCTGCTGTTGTGTGTGGCCGCTGCGCTTCATGTCTGGAGGCCGCACTGCTGCAGGCGGGGCCTGGAGGTGCAGATTGGGAGGGGCGGCGCCTTTCAATGCACGCCTCCCAAGGACTCGCCTCGACAACCTGTTGCTTGAAGACCCAACAGCTGTAAGGTAAAGGCAGCTGGCGTGTTTGGGCTGCCAGAGCTCACCAGGCACCCCCGCCGTACATCACGTCCTGCCCTGATTCCTGGGCAGGCTTTCACACGCCCTGTTCATGCCCATCGCCCCCGGGAGGTCGAGCGGTGCGTAATTGAGGCGCGCATGGTGCATAATATCCTCACTATGCCACGCCAGTGATCAGGAAATGGCGTCGAGCGGGGGCACCCGGCTGCAGAAGCTGCTGAACCTCATAGATGGTGGGTTGCGGGAGGCATAGCACGGCTGCCTTGGTTATAGGCCCGCTGCTGTGCTCACCTGTTGCGGAGTCGGGCTGCCTGCCGCTGCAGGAGGCTCAACCCTGGAAATACGCAAGGCGGCAGCGGCCCAGATCGCCGGAATTGCCGCCGCCCACCCGGCACAGCTCCCAGCCGTCGTGGCGGCAGTCTCTCGCCACCTGCGGCACAAGGACTGGGACGCGCGCGTGGCGGCTGGCCACTGCCTGGGCCTGCTGGCCGAGCACTTTGCACACCACACGGCTGCGGAGCTGCAGGCTGCCGCAGCGGCGGCAGCGGGCGGCACAGCCGAGGCGAGCATGAAGGTGGAGGAGGGCGGCGCGGCGGGCGGCAGCTGCGGCGCGCCCCCCGCCGAGGCCGCCCATCTCCTGTCCTTCAGCAGCTTCAACGTGCAGCAAGTGCTGGCGCAGGGCACGCCCATGCTGGCCTCGGGCAGCGAGGTGCGTGGTGCAGGCCGCGGGCGCGTGCTGCAGATGAGCAGCACGCCTGGTGCCGTCTCAGGTCCCCGCACGCCTGCTGGCCGCCGTGCGCCCAAATGTCCCTTGCGTGAAGCTCAGCCCCCTCCACTCCTGCCTGCCCGCCCCCTACTGCCCCGCCCCCCAGGAGTACGAGCTGCCCGCCGACGCCGCCGGCCTGAGCCGCGCGGAGCAGCTGCAGCGCCAGCGCGGCAACCTGAAGCAGCGGCTGGGGCTGGGTGGGCCCCTGATGGATGGCCTGATGGACACGGATGAGATGTTTGGGGAGGAGGATCTGCTGCAGGCAGACTCGCAGGCCCCTGGGCTGGCCAGCAGGCGGCTCAGCAGCACGGCGGCCGGCCTGGGCTGCGGGCCGCTGGGCAGGCAGGCGTCGCAGGCGCACAAGGATGCCTCCCAGCTGCTGGCCGACATGGGTGGGCTGTCGGCCAGGGAGCGCGCGGCGGCGGTGCGGCGCGCCAAGTCGCTCAAGCGATCGGCCAGCTCGGCGGCGGCGCCGGCGGCGCCCGGCCCCAGCCCGCCCAAGAGGGCCAAGGGCTCGGAGGCCAGCGGCTCGGAAGCGGGGGCAGCCGCCGCCGAGCAGGAGGGCCCCAGCGGCGAGGCTGCGGAGGCGGAGTGGCAGGACGTTGTGGCTGCGGGGCGCTGGCCCTTCCAGTCGCTCTGCGACCAGCTGTGCCTTGATGTGCTGCACCCGCACTGGGAGGTGCGCCACGGCGCGGCGCTGGCGCTGCGAGAGGTGCTGCGCAGCCAGGCGGCGGCGGCGGGCGTGCATGCGCCCGTGGCGGCGCAGCCCGCGGGCTGGAGCGCGGCGGGCGGCGGCGGCAAGCTGGCGCTGGGTCCCGTCAGCGCGGCAGACGCGGTGGCGGCTGCGGCGGCCAATGCTCGGTGGCTGGAGGACTGTGCCATCCACCTGCTGTGTGTGCTGGCCCTGGACCGCTTTGGAGACTTTGTGTCAGACCAGGTGCGGGCGGCCTGGTGGCGGCGCGTGGCCGCGCCTGCCCGCCCGCCAGCTGCTCCCGGAGGCTGCCGCCCGCATCTCGCCCGCCACACCTCCTCATGGCCTGATGCCCGAAAGTGCGGCTGCCTGGCCACAGGTGGTGGCGCCCGTGCGGGAGACGGCGGCGCAGGCGATGGGCGCGGTGGCGCGCCCGCTGGCGCCGGCCGCGCTGCCCCCGCTGCTGGCCGCGCTGCGCCAGCTCAGCGAGCACGACGGCGAGTGGGAGGTGCGGCACGGCGGCCTGCTGGGCCTCAAGTACGTGATGGCGGCGCGGGCGGAGGGAGTGGGAGGCGCCCTGCTGGAGGCGGCGCTGCCGGCGGCTGTGGTGGGCCTGCAGGTGGGAGCAGAGTGCCACGCCGGCGCCGCCGCCCGCGCCGAGTGCTGGCCGCCTGCCGGCACGCCTGGCTGCCCGGCGGCGTGCACAGCGCCTGCTTTTGCGGTTGGGGGCGTGCCAGCGCCCTTGTGCGGCGTGGGGAGAGCGGTGCTGTGCAGCCGCTGCCTTGGCTCCCTCCCGAAACCATGTGCCCAGCCAGCACCCCGCCCCTCCGCCCCTCTGGCCCGCAGGACGGCGACGACGACGTGCAGGCGGTGGCGGCAGAGGCGCTGCTGCCGGCGGCGGGCCTGCTGGCGGGCGCGGGCGCCCCGCCCGGCGCCGCCCACGTGCGCCGGCTGCTGTGGGATGCGCTGCTGGAGCTGGAGGAGCTGAGCCCAGCCACCGGCAGCGTGATGGCGCTGCTGGCTGAGGTGCACTCCTGCTCGCCAGCTGGCGGCGACGACGGCGACGACGGCGGCGGCGGCCTGGGCGCCCTCGTGCCCCGCCTCTGGCCCTTCCTGCGCCACGGCCTCGCCTCGGTGCGCCACGCCGCGGTGCGCTGCCTGTCGGCGCTGCTGAGCAGCCAGCCGGTCGCGGCGGTGCTGCCCGGCGGCGAGCTGCGGCGGGCCGTGCGCCTGCTGTTCCAGGCGATGCTGCTGGAGCGCAGCACAGCGGTGCTGGAGGCCTTGCAGGCGGCCTGGCAGCTGCTGGTGCAGCGGGCGGCGCCCGACAGCCTGGCGGCCGCGCTGGCAGAGGGGCTGCCGCCCCCGCCAGAGGCCGAGGGCGCGCCGCCGGTGACGGCGCTGGCGGCTTTGTTCCGGCTGGCTGCCACGCCCGCACAGAGCTCTCTGGATGCCTCGGTCGTGCTGACGGTGCCGCTGCCGCGCAAGCGGGCGGGCGGCGGCAGCGGCAGCAAGGCGGCGCAGGCGGGGCGGGGGCAGCACCTGCCAGCCGCGCCGTCTGAGCAGCAGCTGCAGCAGCAGCAGCAGCAGGAGAGCCGGCGGCGGGGCAGCCTGCTGGTGGAGACGGGTGGCGAGGGCGGCAGCACCACGCGCATGCGGCTGGCGGCGGCGAGCGCGCTGGGCCAGCTGGCACACACGCTGAGTGGCGCCAGCGGGGCGCCACCCAACCCCATCCAGCCGCACATCGAGGCGCTGCTGCGCGGCCCCAGCGCGGCCGGCCGCCTGCTGGCGGCCTTTGTGGTCGCCCGCTGGGCGCGGCTGCGGGCGGCGGCGGCAGAGGCGGGCGAGGGCGGCGAGGCAGCCGCGCCCGCACCAGACCCCAGCCTGCAGCAGCTGCTAGCGGTACTTCTGGAGCTGCTGGCGGCCCCCGCGGGCGCGGCGCAGCCCTACGTCGAGCTGGCGCAGCTGGCGGCGCAGCTGCGGGGCCAGGCCTCGGCCCTGATTGCTCGGGCGCTGCAGGGCAACGTGGCGCTGGCCATGCCCGGACCCCTGGACTCGCTGTGGCACCAGGGAGCGGCGGCGCTGGAGGCGCAGGTGCCGGCCACGGCAGGTGCGCGCGCCCGTGCCGGTTGCGCTGCCCGCCCGCTTGAGCTGCCAGCCTGGAGGGATGGGCTGCCTCCCTGTGACAGCTGGGAGCGGTGGCGGCCCCCTGTCGCGCAGCACAGGGTGCACCACACCACTGCGCGTCGTGCACCGCCCGCCCGCCTGCCTCACCACCGCCACGGCCTGCCTGCCCTTGCCACAAGTGCAGGCGCCGAGCTGGTGCTGGCGCAGCAGGCGCTGGCGGGCACCGCGGCGCTGCTGCAGACCAGCGAGGCCATCCTGCACACAGGCGTGGCGGCGGCGCAGGCGGCGGCTGCCGTGCAGCTGGCCAGCCTGCCCCCCAAGCTCAACACCATCATCCAGCCCCTGGTGGCCGCCGTGCGTCGCGAGCCGCAGCCCGCGCTGCAGGATGCGGCGGCAGAGGCGCTGGCACGCCTCGCGCTGCTGTGCGCCCACCGCACGCCGTGCCCCAACGACAAGTGAGCTGCCGGCTCGCTTGGGGGGGGAGGGCGGGGGTGCAAGGAGCGGCGGGCCCGCGGCGGGCCGGCTTGTGGCATGTGGCATGTGCTGTGTGTGTTCAGCGCCTCTGTGGATGAGAGTGCTGTGCAGCCCCTGCTCCCCACCTGCTGCCTGCCCTGCCCGGCCCTGCCCTGCCCCCACCCCAACACATACACACACGCCTGCCCGCAGGATCATCAAGAACATGTGCGGCTTTGCATGCGGCGACCCGCGTGCCGTGCCCAGCGTGGCCGCCCCGCCAGACCTGCAGGCGGAGCTGGATGCAGCGGATGGCGGCGGCACAGGCGGCGGCGGCGGCGGCGGCACCAGGGGCGGGCGGCAGGCGGCGGCGCCCACCCCGCAGGAGCAGCAGCAGGAGCTGGGAGCGCAGGCGCTGGCGCTGGCGCGGCGGGGCGGCGAGGCCGTGCTGCAGAGCATGGCTCGGCTGTCGGGGCCCCGCCTGCAGCAGCAGCTGCCCAAGCTGTGGGAGCAGGCCTCGGCGCCGCTGGCTGCTGTGCAGCAGGCGGCGGCGGCGGCCGACCTGCAGGCGGCAGTGCATGCGCTGCACGTGCTGGTGGTGCTGGCGCCAGCCGTGCATCCCGACCTCGTGCCGCAGCTGCAGGCGCTGCTGCCGCTGGTTGGGCGCTGCCTGCAGCACCCCAATGCGGCGGTGAAGCTTGCGGCGGCCAGGAGCATCGCGGCACTGGCACGCGCGCACACGACGGCTCTCATGCCGCCGATACTGCGCCTGCTGGCACCCTTGCTGGAAGGTGGGCGCCGCCGGAGCCTGCTTGCTCCTGCACACGCGCTGGGGCGGCTGGCTGGCACCCACGCCTGGCCCGTGCTGTGCTCCCCTCTGCCCACCACCTCCGCCGCCTGCCTCCCGCCGCAGGCGGCGCACCCGACGACGCCCGCCTGGGCACCCTGCTGGCGCTGCATGCCGCCGTGGCCTCCCTGGGCCTGGCCCTGGTGCCTTACTCGCTGCTGGTGGTGGTGCCGCTGATGGGGCGTATGAGCGACAGCCAGCCCACGGCGCGCGTGCTGGCGGCGCGCACCTTTGCGTCGGTGGTGGCGGTGATGCCGCTGGCACAGGCAAGCCCCTGCCCGCCCCACAGCCCCAACCAAGTCCCAGGCCGCCTGCCTGGGCGCTGCTGCGCATGCACCAGCACCCGCCGCCGGCCCCCGCTCTCACGCCGCCCTCCCGCCTGCCCTCCCCCACCACCACTCCCCGCCCGCGCCTGCAGGGCGGCGGCGAGCCTCCCGGGCTGGACGACGCGCAGCGGCGCCTGCTGACCAGCGAGGGCCGCTTCCTGCACCAGCTGCTGGACAACTCCACCATGGATGACTACCGCCTGCCCATACAGTGAGGGCGGGGGTGGGGTGGGGTGGGGTAGGGGTGCGGGCCGTGTGGGGTGCGGCTGGCCGCCGTGTGGGGTCGCGCTGTTTTTGGGGGGGGGGCCGTGATTTGAGAGGCAATTGTTGGCCCTGGGACGGGGGCAAGAGGGATGCGGCCCCTGAACCCCACAGCCAGCATTGGCCCTGGGAGCAGACGTGAGTGTGTGGCTGTCTCGTGTGGTGTGCGCCGCGCAGGCTGGCGGGCACGCTGCGGCGGTACCAGCAGGAGGGTATCAACTGGCTGGCCTTCCTGCGCCGCTTTGGCCTGCACGGCGTGCTGGCGGACGACATGGGCCTGGGCAAGACGCTGCAGGTGGGGGCTGGGGCCGTGGCCTGGCCTGGCCTGGCCTGGCCTGGGTGGCTGGAGCGCCGGCGTGGGCGCGCGGCGGTGGCGGCGGCGTGTGCGGCCTTGCGAGGCCTGGGGGCCTGCAGCGGCACTGTTGCCTGCTGGCCGTGCTCTCCCCCACCCGCCCTGCTGACCTGGCCTGTGCCCCGCGGCGCCTGCTGCGTGGGATGCAGACGACCGCCATCATGGCGGCACATACGCACGAGCAGCGGCAGAAGTTTGCGCGGACAGGCAAGGGGCAGGCGGCTGCATGGGCACGCCCCTGCTGATCGCCTCACGTTGCCTCCGCCCGTGCGCGGCCTGCCTGCTGGCTCCGGGCTGGCCTGCTGCGCTCCTGCTGAGCTGGTCCTGCCCGCCCCCTGCTCAGGCCGCTGCCGCTGCTCCGCGCCGCTCCCTCCCCCTCCGCCCGCCCGCCTGCAGGCGCGGCGCAGGACCGGCCGGTACCGTCGCTGGTGGTGTGCCCCTCCACGCTGGTGGCCCACTGGCCCTTTGAGATTGGAAAGTTTGTGGGGCCGGAGGTACTGCGCCCGCTGCAGTACCACGGCACGCCCGCCGAGCGCGCCGCGCTGCGCCGCCAGCTGGCCTCCCATGACGTCGTGGTCATGAGCTACGAGAGCCTGCGCGCGGGTGAGCCTCTGCTGCCCCGCCCGCTCGCCACCCCGCCTGCCTTCCGCTGCCCCCCCCTGGCTGCTGTCCTTCGCGTGGCCCCGCACCCTCCCCACACATACTCCACCCTCCCCACACACCCGGCACCCTCCACACACCCTGCACCCTCCACACACCCGGCACCCTCCCCACACACCCTGCACCCTCCCCACACACCCTGCACCCTCATGCCCCACCCCACCCCGCCCCGCCTATCCGTGCAGACGTGGACTGGGTGTGCGCCCAGGCCTGGTCCTACTGCGTACTGGATGAAGGCCACGCCATCCGCAACCCGGCCAGCAAGGTGGTGCAGGCGGCCAAGCGCGCGGGGCGGGGGGCGCGCCACCCCCTGCTGCTGTCGGGCACGCCCGTGCAGAACAACGTGGGGGAGCTGTGGAGCCTTTTCGATTTCCTCATGCCCGGCCTCCTGGGCTGGGAGCGCCAGTTCAGCGCCCGATACGGCCGCACGCTGCAGGTGCGTGCGTGTGTGTGTGTGTGTGTTGGGGGGGGGGGTGCGCCTGCCGGGCTGCCTTGAGGGGCTCCACGTACCAGCTGCTGAGCAGGCATCCCCGCCAGTGCATGGGCGGCAAGGTGTGTGGGGGGCGGTGCACACCCTGCACAGCGCCAGCCCCAGCAGCCCCCAGGGCCAGGCTGATCCAGCCCGCCTGCCCCCTGCCCCGCCCCACATGCCTGGACCGCGTGCTCTGCCCTCGCAGGCGGCGCGCGCCAGCAAGCGCGGCAGCGCGGAGGCGGAGGCGGGGCTGCTGGCTGTGGAGGGGCTGCACCGCCAGGTCATGCCCTTTGTGCTGCGCCGCACCAAGGACGCGGTGCTGGCAGACCTGCCGCCCAAGATTGTGCAGGATGTGGTGGTGGATCCCTCCCCCCTGCAGCGACACCTCTACCAGGAGTTCCAAAACAGCCAGGTGGGTGTGGGTGTGTATGTGGGTGCGGGGGGGTATGGGGTGAGAGGTTTGTGTGCACGTGTGGAGAATGTGTGTGTGGGGGGCAGGGTGAAAGCGGAGGAGCTGCTGCGAGACACAGCGGGGGCTGACTGCGCTGCCGCCGCCCCTGGCTGCCCCCTGCAGGCCCTGGCCCAGATCTCTGGGCTGGTGGGGGCTGGCGGGGTGTCGGGAGGGGGCGCCCCCTCGCCTCCTCCCCACGTCTTCCAGAGCCTGCTCTACCTGCGCAAGCTGTGCAGCCACCCGCTGCTGGTGCTGGACCCGGCGGTGCCGCAGCACATGCAGGTGGGTGGGTGGGTGGTGCAGTGTGGGTGTGGGTGTGGATGGGTAGGTAAGCGGCGGATGAGGCTGTGTGGTCCCGCGTCAGTGCCCTGCCTGCCATCCCCAGGGTGGATGCCACCCCAAAGCTTGCCATTCCGCGCCCTTGGCCCCCACGCGCACCCACCCACCACCCTGTGAGCAGGCGGTCCACAAGGTGCTGGGCCCCAAGCACGGCGGCGACTGGGCGGCGGCGCAGGCGGCCCTGCGCTCCAGCCTGGCCCACGCGCCCAAGCTGGCAGCCCTGCAGGAGCTGCTGCTGGAGGCGGGTGGGTGGCGGCGGGGTGTATGAGTGGGGGTGGGTGGTGGTGGGTGGGGAGGGGAGAGGCAGCTAGGGGGCAGGGTGGGCAGGTTGCGGGCAGGCCAGGCCAGGGCCAGGCCAGCCCCGGGGTGCCTGCAGCGCATGCACTGGCAGGCCACCCAGGCGTGTGCCCCACCCTTGCCCTGCACCTGCTCCCCCCGCTGTCCGCCAGGCATCGGCGTGC